AATAAACCACGGGTAAACCTAGAACCGCGCTCGGCCCATGGCCGCGCGGTTAATGAGTCTTTGTGCAAAACCTTTCATATGACGAGTTTGATTTTCATGAAAATGAACACGTAGGTGGGACACATTTCTGTATGAATAGCTTCATATGAAGACTCGTTTTGACACAGAGGCAAAAGGCAACTCGGGAGTGGCCTATTGCAAAGCAAAAACAACTAGGCCAAGACCAGATGGAAATTCTACCTCAGCACAGCTATCTGTGAATCATGTAAACCACAGGTACTTGCATGACTTGTGTCACTGCTTTACAAGCAAGGCTTACACTTGTGAGCAAACTGCAGTAAAACTTACAATTCTTGTGTTTAGTGCAAAGAAGACCAGGAAAAGCTTGGGACAACTTAACAAGACTTATTAAGGCTGGTTTTTGCAAGCACTGCCACAAAAGTAACGTAAGTAGCAGATGCAGTAAGATGTTTGTAATAATTATTGGGACCTTGTGTTTCAAAAATCTCCAAACAAAAGGTGCCACTTAACAGCACCTTGCTGTATCTGCAAATTTTGCAAATTTTACATAAAGGAATGATTGGAGCATCAAACAAGATAGAATATCTTGATTGCTCTCACACACGAAACAAGCCAATGATAATAACTTCACTCTTGGAAAGAAATAGCCCAACAACTTCAATGTTCTGCACACCTTTATTGGATGTTTCAAAATTTATACAGAACTCATTTTGCACTGCTCACTGACTCCCGGTGACTTGAGGAAGCACGCTTTTTCTTCAGCATTTCATGACGTTTCTCCTTTGCCTCTTTAGCTCTCTTGGCCAGAAGCCTTGTGTACTCAGCATACTCCTGCTTAGCTTTCTGTGCTCTCATTTTCTTCAGGGCCAAGATTTTGCGCTTGCGCTGCAGCACTAGAGGAGTGACTAGACGCTGGATCTTGGGAGCCTTCGTCTTGGGCTTCTTGCCCTCTTTCTCTGGGAGTGTTCTCCTGATGACATACTGCCGGACATCATCTTCCTTGGACAGGTTAAACATCTTCCTGATCTTGCCAACTCTCTTAGGCCCAAGACGGCGTGGCACAGTGGTGTCTGTCAACCCAGGAATGTCATTGTCACCTTTCTTGATGATGACCAAATTCAGCACACTGAGTTGAGCATCTACAATACAGCCACGCACAGACTTTCGTTTACGTTCACCAGTTCTACGTGGCCTGTAGCAGGAGTGACCCTTGGAGAGCAGAAGACGCACACGGCCATTTGTCATGACTCCTTGCTTCATGGGGAATCCCTGTTTGTCATTTCCTCCAGAGATTCTCACCACATAACCCTGCAATGAAGCAAATTCAATCAGTTAGCACTGTAGTGCTTAGACAAGCAAGATAAGAGACCCATTCTGTTGATACACCTGCAGATGGCATGAAAAGAGGCAACGTCAGACCTGAAATACAGGGTGCAAAGAAACCTGTATCTTGTACTTGTACCCTAATAATGCCAATTAATTTAACTCACCTTCCACTCCTCCCCAAGACATTCAGCACTGCATTCAGCAGAAATACGCTTGTCAAAGAAGTTACGACTGCAAAATAAATATTAGAATGTGTTAATTCAGTTATGATAATATTATCACTCATACGGTGTATCTTTGATTCCTGTATAGCAAATTATGACAAACTGAACTTCTGAATACAGTCGAACCAGTATGTAAAGGCCACCTTCAGGACTCAAGGAACTGCCCACTCAATACAGGTGGACGCTTAATAAATGTCTCAGGATCACCAAAAATACTCACTGGACGTGGTCTAATGTCAAAATTAACAGTGTAAAGAGTGGAGCATATTCAAAATGAAAATGATTTTACGTTCGTGATGTGGTACTGTACTTCATCAAATTACAGACATCTGAAAAACATTAACGATACTTAATGGCTGATTATCAGCTTATGGTGGCTTTATACATGTTATTTCTTTATAGCGATGATGGATTGCATTTTAAACACAATAAAATACCACACAAAATGACATGTGGCATAGTTTTCAAGGGTGGCCACTTAACACAGGTAAAAATAATCAAGAAAGCAGAACATAGGACTACTGCAGAGTGGCTCTGGCTACTTAATAGAAGTGGCCACCTAATACAGGTAACAAGCACAGTGTTTGTATGAGCAAAAAATCAGGACTTTGAAAACTAGCCGCTTGATGTAGGGTTGTTATATACAGGTTCAACTGTATATACAGGCTGGAAATTAAAGATATATTAGATCTGCATAAATTTTGTAGTGCTGTATAGAAACAATAACCTTTGTGGACCCACAAG